TTCTATTTCTCACTCTTTTCTCAGCCATTGCCTGAACAAAATTCAGTACATAAGTCTGAACAAAAGTCCCCATAGACCTCCATAGACCATAGATTCCAAACATCACATTGTGCATTTTAGGGCTGCAGTAAGGATGGTTTTCAACAAGACAGACAATTCATGAGTCTTTAATCATGTCAAAACTGGCCACTGTTGCCAGTGAACACGAATGGAAATCATAAATAAATAGAGATTCAGCTTCCACTTGTTTTGAAAATCAAATAAAAATAGAAGCTCTTTCCACATAGACAAAGCATTCCTAGCTGAGGAGAACTCAGAAAATCCCCCAGGAAGGTGAACCAGCACCCTTAGCAAACACATTCTCCTTGCACAAAACCAAAGAGAATGGGAACAAAGCATGGTCAGGTCAGTGTGTACATTATCCCATTAACTGGCCTCCTTGCATGAATCAAAAGAATTTTTGCTTGTATTTTGTATAAAAAAGTTTACAATCCTAATAACTACACAGACCAATGCTTCGCTTCTCTTCCAACTTCATTTCCATGGTCCTCTATGTGGCCCTTAGGAAATTTTTCATGAGGATTCTTGAGCTCCCCTGCTTTCACAAAATAAGGGATAGAGATTGTCTTTCAACAATGGGTAGTCTTGCAAACATCTCATAAGCCCAAAATAACAATCTGAAACAGGCAGCAAAATTTTGAGAAGTTCAAGATGCTCCAAGCATTATAGCTAATCCTAGTATTAGGAGAAAAGTGGTAGAAAACATAGTTGACTGCCAAGGTCTGTAACCATTATTAATATTCAGAATACCCTTGAGATACTTTGTCCACAGAACTTGTGCATGGAGCTTGACATGGAAACAATGCTTCCACAATCCCAGAGCATTTCATAGACTTCTCACTAGTCTATCTATTTTGTCTGTGTAATTTCGTGGACTTGGCATCAAGAGCAGAAGCCAGAAAGCAAAGTAACCCCAGAGAATTTGTCTCCTGAGTTAGCAAGTAATGCTATAGCATTTTTGATCCATTGATACAGACGTCACATTGAGTTTTGTTTTGCTTTTCTCTAAATAAAATAAAGAAGCCACAACATCCCATATGGATGACATTTTGGACACCCTGGATAACTCCAGGACAAAATGATGTAGGTGTAATGTATGGATGTCTAAGGTTACATGCATATATTAGCCCCACCAAATCAAGACATTTCACTTCAGCTGGCTCTAGCTATGTCTTCTAAATACTGCTGCAATGTTTTCATCCCATCTCTCCCTTTGAGAAGCTTGAAACAGTTCATAGAACAGTTGGAACACTCAATATATCAACTGCCACACATGTTAGCACAAAGCTCTTAACACATTGAGCCCTGGCAATTTGAATGTGCTATGGGCATAGGATGTCATATAATGGCTGCAGGGCTCAAAGCAATAAAATATTTTTAAAATGTGTACAGGCATGAACATTCCTAAAGTAAATGAAACAGACCTTAAGGGTGAAAGCTCTGACCTTTCAGAAACAAAGGACTTTCTTGTAGGACAGAAAGCACTGAGATAGGGAGGAAAATCAGAAGGGGGGAAAAGAATGAGAGCAAGAAATATAGGGATTAAAGTGAAAATTCAGGAAAACAGACCTGGACCTATGTAAGGTAAGACATCCCTACTCAAATTTCAATCTTGAACCTACATTCCTTTCCTAGTCATTTCATTCTGTTGTTTTGATCAGTTCACTGGCAGATATTTATTTGTTTTGGTAGCTGATAATAATGTTTCATTTAAGAAGACTGAAATGGATGAATCCCTTTTTAAGAATCTACAACCTATCCTGTTATGGAAGAAGTATAAATAAAACTGCTTTCAGTTACTACTCTATATTTACAGTTGTAAACAGGAAATCTGAATGGTGTCTACTTTTCAATGGCAGTAAAGTGTAACATGATGATGGAGTATAAACATTGAACAGCACATAGAAAAATGGGAAGACGCTGCTCATGGAAATTTTCTTTACAGAAAACTGGAAATGAAAAAAAATGCTAAAAAACAGGAAACTATGAAAAAAAAAAAGGCAAACCCAATAGATTTGACTGTGAGAATTAATGAGAGTGAAGAAAAAACACAACACTCCTTGAATTTTATGTTCAGGAATCAATCACTGCTACAGTAATATATATTCCATGAAATATGCATCTTTGTCTAAAATTCATCTATGTCTTGTCTTCAGCAGAAATTTTTAAAATAGACTTTCCCATCTCCCTTAACTACAGAAGCATTTTGAAGGTTGAAAGTAACATTTTTAGAATTTCTCACTCGTTGTTAGCCTTTCATCAAGAAGGAAAGTCAATACACTTGATCATCTTCACTTCATCTTGTTAAAATGTCAGTTGTGATCATGCAGATGTCTTAGGCAGACAGAGCAGTATTGAAGCACGTGAATGTAATAAAATGAAAGTAAGCTTTATTAAAAGAGCAAATCTTCAATGAAAGCCCCAATTCCATGCTGTCATTCAAGCACAAGACTAAGTCATTGTGCATTAATTGTAGTGGGTCTCCTAGGACTTGCTGGGATTTAAAAAATACTTGAATAATGAACATTAAATACTGAGTTGGCTAAACCAGCATAGGGAAAATAATGAAAATTTTACAAGATAAAAACATGTTGATGCATATTGGGATGCATGTTGGGGCATACACAGCAGTTGCTTTGATTGATTTTCAGATATATATAAACATGCCAACAATATTGCATTTTTTTCTCTCCACTATGTATCATAGATCATTTTGAGTCTCATATTGTATTTTGATTTTTGTATTATTTACAATCTATCATTGGTTCAGAAATTTCTATATTTTTTGTTTTATTCCAGTTCAATGCCCTGGATTGGACCAGAGACATAGCTTACATACATTACAGTTTCCAGGTAGTCTAGACACTCCCTGAAATGGAGAATTTCATGGAAAAAGGATAAGAATCAGGGAAAAATACAGAATACACTAAGGAATAACCCATAGGATGAGGGAACAAGGGAATGGGTAGAAAAGACAAGGGGTACAGGAAGAGAGTATATTCCTCCCCTTCTTCTAACAGGTAGGCCTGGAGAATGGTTAATAGGTACTTTTAACATCCACCCTGGGCTCCCATGTATAACTGTTGGCATCAGAGTAGCTCATCAGGATAGGCAGGTAGAAAGTTCCTACTCAATTCAAAAGAGTTTTCAATTTAATACATGTAAACCTATGCTCTAATTAGCACAGCCTAAAAGGATTTACTTTCAGTCAAGCCAAAATAAAATCAAAATGAGATTTTGCTCCTTGACTAGACAAAATTCAACTTGCCTATGATGACCAGCCTTGAATCCAATGCAGGAATGAGAGGAGGCAGAGGCAAGGAGACCAGAGCTCTGGAATAAGGCAGGGTGAGCTTGCCTATCTTGCAACAGTGACTCCTCATGCACCCATGGAAGGATAAGAATCAATCCTACTACTCTGCATTTGCCCTCTTCAGCATGTCTTCAAATTGGAGGTGGCTGCAACTCATTCTAGTCCATGGACATGTATTTGAACAATACTGCCTTGATGAAGACTTAATCCAGATGGGCCCTGATTAATTCCAGACACCTTTCTCCCCCCATATATAAATGAATGCGAGGATTCTGAAGGAAATACATAGTTGAGGCACTGGGAATTTTGGCAGTGGAAGGAGAATAAAAGAAAAATTGGCAATTTATACCTTTGAGGTGCCACTGCTGACAGATTAACTCCTCAGGTCAAAGATGCCAATTCTTTCCACACAAGACATTCTGATAGAGATGCCATACTTGTTTTCTCCTCAAAGAATAGGCACTTCTCTCAGTCTCCTTGATTCTCTAATGCTGATAGTCATCATGTGTTTGTTGTTGTTGAGAATAAAACAGCTTGTAGTAATCCTGATTTTTTTCTAAGCTGGAAGAAAAGGGGATGTCAACTGGTTAAAATGTTACAATCTCAAATGAGGTTACCTATCAAATTCACCAACTGCCCAAAATCCAAGTACCATAACACTGTGACTACATCAGAATCAATTTCAATACTAGGAGATTCTGCCTACCATTTTCTGAGTTAGAAGCTAGCACTGGCTGGCATTGTCAGGCCTGTCATCTAGAATGAACTATTTCCTGCTCTGTAATATATGACCCAAAGAAAAATTAGTATAATGGAAAAGAATTTCTGCTGCTTTAAAATTGTCAAATACAAAAAGGAAAAAAAGGCATCCCAAATAACCATGGGGCCTTCTTTATTTAGTGCTAGGGTATGCACAGTGAGAACAGAGAGTTGATTCTCATTGCATGTTCTTTTTCCATTCCATTTCTGAGCATAAGCATAATGTGGATGGGAAACCTGAGGGCACATGGGACTAAGTGGAGGAGTCACTGTTGCAAGATAGGCAAGCTCACCCTGCCTTATTCAAGAGCATTTTCAGCTCTTTGCAAGCTGGAAATGGTCTGAATATACAGCTTCTGTCCAGCTGGAAAATTCCAGTTGGGATTTCAAATTGGGCCCTACCTTCCCTAGGTAGCATAAGTGTTTCACAGATAAAAAAGGTTGGGGGGGGGGGGGGGGGGCCACAGGAACTCTGGGGCACTGTTAGGCATTTCACGGTTATTTTCCTTTTGTTGCTTTTCTTGAAAAATGAGGGGGGGGCGTGCCTGCTGCCGCCCCCCCTTCCCGACGCTACGTCGCTCTTTCAAAGACTCGATAGGTGGGAACATGACGAGTCTTTGATTCGGAGGGCCCGGGCTTTACTGGCTTCAAATCTTTTTATATATAGATGCAGGGTCGGACTGGCAAACCCAAGAACACCCTGGAAATTGCTGACAAGGGCCCCCCCCCCCCCCCCTCTGGGAGCCAGAAGCCTGGGAGCCAGGAGCCTGGGAGCCAGCCCCCCCCCCCGCCCCCCCAGGAAATTTCCCGCTATCCCGGTGGGCCAGACAGATCCTGTATGGATCCAATACCTTTGTAGACCACGTACTTAACATACTAGCCACCATTACACCCGGTGTAGGCCTACTAGTGAGGTTGGTAGGAGTAAAACTGAAGATTGGGAAAAAACTGAAGAAAGTCACAGTGAAAATTGTGTTAAAATTTCAGCTGCATCGTTAGAGCGACGAGTAAAATTTGGCGAAAGATGCTGGCGACAAGCTTTCAGCTCCGCCACCGAGCACAAGGTTCCTATAAGACACGACTGCGGCTTTGTTTCCGCGACGTCTGATTCCCGGACACACAGGACAAAAAGTCCTGCCTTCGCCAGCGACAGCAAAAAAGGGACGCATGCGCCGAAAGTGTGATGGTTCGGAAATGAACAACAGTGTTGCACAACTCCCGCTGTCTCTGGCTTTTCTTACATATGATCTTTTATCATATCTAGGGACTCCTTCGTATTCATAGCGCAAAATTAATGTGGTAGTACGAAGAGAGGTCGCTGTGGTGAATTTATTCGAGGGTGTACTGTTTCAGGAATCTGTAAGTTTCTACATACCTCTGCCGTACGCAACCTTACGCGAACATATCTATCGGAATCTGGAGGAAATGCCTGTTAGTGCTGTCAAAGGATTCCAAAGGATTTTCTTCTATTCTGCTCTGAAGTGAGTTATTTCTTGAAATGGCCAACACGCTAGTAAAAATTAATGCGAATACACAACAGATGGCTGTCTATAGGTCCGTAGCCAGAAGGGAAACGGGAGGGGGGGGGGGGGGGGAGGGTGCAGTTCATTCTCTGCCACGAAATTCCCTGAATGCAAAGCATCGATATTGAACATTATGATTGATCTCATCGGTGAAGCGAAAAGGGTATTGAAGCTTCTGAACTGCCTCCCCAACTAGGAAGTGTTTGTTGCTAGGCTGAGTGTCTACGTCCATCCGCATTGATGGACGCTGGGTGAAACTGCAGCTTCTAATGAATCTGGGTTCCTCGAGGCTCCACCAAGGAGATCTGTCAATCGCTCCATCGTGCTCCGCCGGGCGATTCCTTTCCTGGGATTTCCAGCTGCATCTCATCTACTTCGATCGCCTTCGCACCTTTCTTCCTATATGTTCTTTTCTGATGTCGAATTTTCCGTGTTGAATGATTGTATTGTGATACTTCAAGTGTGTACGTTTCACGAAGTGCATTTCCCAATGAAAAGAAAACCTATGACCATCGGACGGGTACCAGAGGTTTCCTTCTAAGGGAACAGGGGATCGCTTCTTTAGGTCCTACCTTACTTTCTTTTGATTCCTGGACCGTTAATTTAAAAAAAGTCTCAAATTCATCCATAGAACTCTCCCAAACCAGTAAAACTGGTTTTCCAATTACAATAGTTACTTTAAAATATTAATACTGTATATTCATCAACCTGCCTCAAGCGCAAAGGAAAGTATTGAGATATAGAATTTCAGCGTTTAACCCTACCACCCTGCATTACTTTCTCACTGCACCATGTTTACCGTTATGAATAATTAAATAGTAAAATGCGACGGTGGGGGGTTAGTAAACAGGCAGTTCCTTTCTCTTGTTGCAACAAGACACATCCCTCACATACTGCAGTGTGTTCGCTACTCCAATGATTCCATGAACATAGGTGTACTGTGTCACGCCGTCCCTTCCTTTCACTGCCCTATACTTTTTTCAGATGATTCTCAGGCCTTCCAGCAATGACGCTTTCCCCAAAGGATTCGTTATGCCTGGGACGATGGAAATAAGGAAAGCAAGCGGGCCAGCCGATAAGCTGAGGGAGAGCAGAACAGCTCTGACTGTCGACTTTCTGGCCCGTCTAGGAGCTTCCGTTTCCTCTTATGTCTGGCGTCTGTAAACACAGGTTAGTTTCAATTCCTTTCGTGGTACATTCGTGATGGCGCAACTGCGAAAGAGATGTGAAGAGGAACTTACGAACTTGCTCATGAGTTGCACACGAGTTGCGTTTGCTGAAATTTGTATGAACTAACTGTCATCATCGGACCGGACAATGAATTCATTTTCGCGTTAGACAACGCTCAAGTGCACAAAAGGGTTATTCCTCGATACCCAACCCATTCCATTCATTTCCTCCCCCCAACAATCCTCGGTTAGATCCCATCGAATTCACGTTTTCGCCTTTCAAAGCAGAAGGGAAGAAACGAATCGGTGCGTTGCAGGCCCCAGTGGCTATCCCTCAGTTGACAGCCGCAGCATGGAAGACTCTTACGAGACATCGATGCCAAATGAAAAACATCTTTGAAGAGTCAATTCGCAACGTGAATACGGATGCCTCATGCAGGCATGCATACGAGCATTCTTTCAATGCGCCAATACGGCGTTGGCCAGAAATCCCATTCACGAATGAAGGCATTTCGCTTTTCCGTCTCCTGCCGTCTGGATTTTTACTTATCCTCGGGGTATGATTTGGCCTCGTAGTCTCTTGGTTTCTCTGTCTAGACTGTAGGAAGATGAAACGAGACACGACGACTTACACTCGCCCCTCGTCCTGTTCTCCATTACTTCATGAGCCCCTGCGTGTTCCTTCGGACCTGCGGGTTGCCTGAATGGCAGGTATGCCCGAGAATCACCTGAAAAAGGTATATTAGATGGAATTTATTTATTGTTATCCTGTAACTACTTTCATCTCAACGAGGGTTTTCCTGGTGTGGTATGTCTGGTAGGTTAATTCTTTTGAGGGAATGAGGTGTGAATTGAAGGGTAGAAAGGAAAAGTGGTCTATCTGTAAAAAGGTTTCTGAGAAGAGTATACAGTCAAACCTCGTTATAATAAAGTCCAAGGGACCAGAACAAGAACCTATTATATGGAGATTTTTATTATATCGAGGGATTTACTCACCAATCCAAAAGAAGTCTTCGTACGTAGAATATTGGAGAGACATGTACTGTACAACGTGTATAGGAGGTGTGATCAAAAAGTTCGGTGAATGATCTCACTTCTAACGAATGCGTGGTGGTGGAGGAATGTCAGTGGGTGACCCTCCCTCATGAGTAAAGTATTTATTACGGCGGCCCTCCCTCATGAGCATGTTGAGTCTTGACCGGTTATCACACTCCAGTGCGCCGTGAGCTCCATTTGTGTTAGCACGTGTTTGTCGCGTTCTTCGAAAATGTCGCATTTTGAGCAGCGTGCAAACATGAAATTTTGTTTTAAGCTTGGCAAGACAGCTACAGAAACACACGAAATGCTAATGACAGTCTACGGAGATGATTCTGTAACAAAAAAGACGGGTTTCAAGTGGTTTGAAAGGTTTCGACGAGGAAATTATTCGTTGGAAGACGAAGAAAGAAGCGGTCGTCCGTCAACATCGCGAAACGATGAAAACATCGCCCAAGTCCGTACTCTCATCCGATCAAATCGACGTTTAACCGTTCGAGAACTAGCTGGTTGAAGAGACCGGTCATATCTCTTTCATTTGGTTCAGTTCAGTCTATCTTTACCGACAATTTGAACATGAAACGCGTTAGCGCAAAGTTCGTTCTGCGCATCCTCACAGACGAACAAAAAGAAAATCGAGTTCTCATTTCATCCGAATTGCGGGACCGAGCCGTTTCGGATCAAACATTCTCATCGAAAGTGATAACGGGTGGCGTGACGTGGGTTTATGGTTACGACCCGGAGACGAAAGCACAGTGCTCCCAGTGGTAGACACCCACGTCACCAAGACCGAAAAAAGCGCGTAAATCGAGATCGCACGTGAAGGTCATGCTCATTGCGTTCTTCGACATCGAAGGAATTGTTCACTCAGAATTTGTTCCCCGTGGTACTACCGTTAACCAAGAAGTTTTGAAACGCTTGAGGGAGGCAATCACACGGAAAAGACCGGAGAAGTGGCAGAACAGATGGCTGCTCCATCACGACAACGCGCCCTGGCACACGTCACTTTCCATCCGGCAATTTTTGGTGGGTAAAAACATCCCCGTCATCCCGCAACCGGCATATTCGCCCGACTTGTCACCGTGTGACTTCTGACTGTTCCCCAAAGTGAAACGAAACATGAAAGGAAAGAGATATGACACCATCGAAGCCATCAAATCCAACACGACAGACCGTCTGAAGACGATTTCAAAAGAGGAGTTCCAGAAATGTTTCAACCAGTGGCACGAACAACTGTGGAACAAGTGTGTATGTGCGGGAGGGGAGTACTTTGAAGGGGGTTAATTATGTAAGCGTCTATTCTTTGATACAATTTTATTTATTCCATCATTCACCGAACTTTTTGATCACACCTCGTAGCAACGCGTAGAGCCGTTATAGTGGCTACATATTCTCAAATGCAAAATTAAACGCAGTAACAAAAAAATTCTCCCCCCCCCCTTTTTTTTTTTACATATAAAAAATATCAGGCCAGGGAATCTGGCCGTTCCAGACTTTTTCCTTCCATCAAAGATGGTAGTTTTTATTTATTTGCATAAGTAAAAAAAAAATCAGTCTATCTATGCTTTTCGTCACTACAACCCTTTCACGTACTAATTTTTCAAGCAAAAGAAAAATATGCCTTTTTAGGTTTAACGTTTAAGGAGGTGCTCTGCCGTAGTAGTCGCATATTTCACAGCTAGAAAGCAACCCTGAAGAGCTTTTGTGGCCTTGAGTTGCCTGCTTACGCCAAAAGTTTCGAGGTATGTGTACTATGACTGAAAAACCATCATCATCGCCAAAGATTGTGCCGTCCACAATAGTGGACACCATGTGTGAAAGGGTTAAAGATGGTCATTGGAATATTCCCCCCTTCTATGTGAAGCTCAATAAATGCATTTCTTGCAGAGACCACTTTCCCTTTCAGCCCTTCAGGGCTTAGGACCAAAGTAATGGAATCCCAAGTGTCTTCCGGGAGAACCCTGACAGTCCACCAACAATCCAATAAGAATAATAAAGGAGTACTGTAACTCATGCTCGCCGGTTGAAAGCACTGATACCGTTCTCTCTGCTCTTCATTGTTGCTTCTCCCCCATTTCCTCACGAGCCTCACTGGAGTGACCGTTAATTGTTGGGCATACCGCGGACCCTTCCTTCATGTCAGAGGAA